TCTCTATATAGCTCTCTCTCTCTCTATATGGCTCTCTCTCTCTCTCTCTCTCTCTCTCTCTCTCTCTTTCTCTCTCTCTCTCTCTCTCTTTCTCTCGCCATCTCCACCGACATGAAAAGTCATGCCATGCTGGGCTTGCGTAAACCGTCAAAATGCCCACACATGTACGGGATTTGTGGTCGGGATTCCCACGGTGGCCATTACATTGGGTTCAGTCGCCGCGAACGAGCAGTGTCGTGTGATCTAACAGGGATTTCTCTCCGTGAGTCCGATGTGTGATCGGGGTGACGTTCATGACCATTTGATCGTGACGTTTGATTGGGCCGTGTGATGAAGGCGGAGATCGCCTCTCTGTCGCTCTCTCTCTCTCTCTCTCACTATCTATTTATCTCTCTTTCTGTCTTTTATCTCGTTCGTTTTTCTGCGCTTGTCTGTGTCGCTCGCACAAAGTTTGCGAACGTAAATGACAAACGCAGACAAACAAACGAGACAGAACCAACAGCATCGTGTTCCACCACCTCTAGTTTCATTGGCGACCACTCGCCCCGATCAGATGGCACACTCACACGTCCACGTGGTGGGTCCTGAACAAGCGTGGGCACGCTGATGGATGTGGGGCTCTATGCGGCAATCAGCATGGCCACACATGATCAGGACTTGACACGTGGACATGTGTGCCGTCGTGTTCAACTACCATCTTCAGCTACGACAGATCCGAAGACACAGGACACGAACGTGAATTCAAATCTTTAAACCCTATCAAACCTCGCGTATGCCGAACGCCGCGAGGAACCCTTCCGTCGACGTGGACACAGGACAGGACACGGAGCGATCAGATGATCATAGGGTATTGTCGACGGCGACATGTCTAACCAACCAGGAGGACGACAGCCCACCCTGTCCATAGCATCTTGTGGTGGCGCAACAACTAACGTATCCGAGCCACCCTTGTCAATTTCGGTTGCATCCGAGCCACAACCCACTAAAACTCACGGGGCGACCACTAACCGAGGCACCTCGGCGAAGTTTGGATTAATATGAACCACACCGATGGCAAATTTGGATTTGTCACATGCTCAGACGGTATTTACGACGTTGCACGTTCTGATAAACGTGAACGACGAAATCACACGCTGTCAACAGACCGTGCCGTCCATCCACCGGTCCCCGTCTCGGATTAATCCGAACCACACCTCCGACAGGATAGGGTCCACCCTATGCTCACAGGTCATTGAGGAAAACATGCCATGCCGATGGCCTCCTCTTGTGGTCGGTCGTTTCTATCTCGCATTGTGCTAATTCGGATGCATCCGAGTCACAACGTCAGACTTTCGACTCTGCCCAGTTCGGATGTGTCCGAACTCCCCCGCTGTCTTCGTCTTCGGCCATTCGCTCTACGAGAGGAAGTCTGATGATGAAGGTTAACGATGCCTCGGATTCATGCAACTAAAATGAGTCGAGATGGTGACGCTCGGGTGGAAGAAAGACGAGCTCGAAACTTGTGCTACGACTACAGCAAACGTGTCTGTTGTTTGGATTGGGCGAGCAACAACCAACTAGAACTCACGAGGACGACGACATCCCCCGTGATGACGCATAGATTATAATGACACACTACGGCAATCGCGGGGAGGTCCGGTGTGTGGTGGGGCGACAACAAGCCGAAGCGCCTCGGCGAAGTCGGATTAATCCGAACCACACCAATGGCTTGTTCGGATTTACAACATGCGCAGAGGGTATTGACGACGTCGCACGATCTGACAAACTTGCACGATGAAAGCACACGGTGTCGGCGCAGCCTGTCGTGGTCGCACGTATGGGGACAACCCCTGTCGAAATCGGATAAATCCGACCCACACCCGTCTTAAACGCTCAAGGAGGAAGACACACCGTGCGAAATTCGGGTGGACCCAAGGAAAGCTTGGGAATAACTGAAGCTTGGACGGCTGGATGGGCGTCAACAGACCGTGGGGTCCATTCGCCCGTCCTCGTCTCGGATTAATCGGAGCCACATTTGCGAAGTTCAGGTTCAACCCAACCAAACCTCACGCAAGATGGGGTTAACCCAGTGCTCACAGGTCTGTGACGAAAATACGTGTTGTAGATGGTGCGCTCTTGTGGACGACCGTCTCTGGACCACGCTGTTCAAATTCGGATGCATCCGAGTCACAACCGTTACCGACTCAGAAGGACAAGTAAACTCGAGTTCGGTTTGGTCCGGACCGCAAAGGGTGGTCCACACCACTTTGGAGCTCGGATGCATCCGAACTACACCGGCGAACTTTACAATCTGCTTGTCGACTTCGGATGACACCGTATCACCACGGGGTGCTCATCTTCGTCTGCTGTGTCAACGTTCAAGTGCCTTCTTGCCCGGTGCAGGTGCCTATGCGACGTCGCTTTTTCGACTGCGCCTGCTTCGGATGTATCCGATCTATCCCGCGGTCTTCGTTTTCATAAGGGCATTATGACGAGGATGGCTCACGATGCCTCGGATCCATCCCAAATGTGCTTTCATGGGGACCACTGTCGTCTAACTATGACTGAACTTCGTTGTTTTGGGGTCCGGGTGACCGATAACAAAATACGTACTGTGGGTCGTGGTTGATGTTGGGACGTGCTGACTGTTCTGAGTGCATGTGGGTTCATTTCCTCCGTGTGTTTCAGGGAATGGCTACACACGGACGAAGCCGCTCCGCTGGTGGTTCCGCCCCGCATGGAGAGGAGCGTCGAGGGACGACGTCGTCGCCGGCAAGGGAAACGAGTCGGGGAGGTGGCAGTGGGGAGGAAGAACGACGAGCTCAAAACTTGTGGTGCGACTACAGCAAATGTGTCTGGTATTTGGACTGGGCGAGCTTGGACGGCTCCAACCCGTTGCAACCACCGTGCGGGCCGCTCTTGTTCGTCGCAGTTCGCGCCGACAGAACGCGTCTCGCAGGGTCCATCGTCCAGTGGGTCGGCATTGTCGAATACAATTTTAAGTTTACGTTGAAGAAGCATTACAGAATTGATGGTTCCGTCGACGACATCGCAAAAGGATGCAACGTTACCGGGAGGATGTTCGGCGGGTACGGCCGGCGTGCGATGTCTTTGTCGTACTTTGTCCCCCTAGCGCCGAGGCACGACGAGGCCGTTCACGTGACAGACTTCCTCGAGGTTTGGGCGAGATCTGGTACCTCTGCCAGTGTCGTGGACGTCGGACCTGGGACATCGATCAGTGGTCCTGTTGGGTTCCCGGGAGGAGAGTGCTCTGAAAGGGGGATGGGAGGTCAGGGTGGTCTGCAAGCTACTCCTCCTGATCAAGAGGTGGGCATGTCAGACGACTCGGAGGACGACTATCCGCGTGCTCCTTCGAAACCGGGCTTGCATGGATCTCGCCGTCAAGGTTTGCTTGGGGAGTCGACGCCGCGTGGAGGCGGCGATGGCGAACGGTTGCGACAGGGCTCAGAATCGATGACTCCTCGTGGTCTGGTCGAAAGGATTGGTTTGTTTGTTCATGGCATGCAGGTGGCCGGGGTTTCGCCTGGAGATCGCGCGGGTGGTCCGCAGGTTCGAGAGGTGTATGGGTCAGATGAGACGACTCGCCGGCCCGACCTCCTCCTGCGCAACCGCAGACGGAGTTGAGCCTGGAACGAGAAGCAAGTGGGAATGTCGCCGGTGAGAAGGAGGTGTCCGAGCAGGGGCTGTTCCGTGAGAGATCGGCTAAAAAGGCTCAGTCGGGAGGAAAGCGCAACTTGCCGGATGAGGAAGAGCGAGAGGGAGTAGGTGCTCTGAAAAGGCACAGAAAGGTAGGAGGGAGTGCTCGGACGCCAACATCACGAGAGGGCGGTTCCGTTGAGAAGAGGAAAAGGGTTGGAGGTGGGGATGAAACGCCAAAAGACTCATCGACACAGCGAAGAACCGGTGAGTCTTCCGGGAAACGGTCGAAATCATCGAGGGGGAAGAAAGCAGATGAGGGCGGCAGCGGGGAGGGAAATGACGATGTGGACATTCACCTCAAAGCCTTCAACCTTGACAATGCGTTCTTCCTCGAGATGCAGACAGGGGTGCAGAAGGATGTCGTGTTGCACATCCATCCCGAAAGAATATTAGGTATTCCAGACTGGGAAGACGCGTACAACCACAAATCCTTGGACGAGTTCCTCGTTGATACCATCGCGTCGGCTATGATCGACTGCTACGAACGTAAAGATATGAGATACACGAAGCCCATTTTCGTTCTCGCTTCGATCGTCGCGCCTCCAGAGAATGGCGAGCCTGCTGTGCGCGTGCTGCCTGCTGACTTCCACAGCTCACAGCAGGAGAAATACGAGTATTATCCTGTGTGTGGACAGCATAACGCGAGGGCGGCGATGAAGGTGAAAGACCATCCCGTGTTTGAGTACTACAACTCATGTAAATGACCGTTTAGACCGATCTACTTCCCTGATGACGAGTTCGACGGCTACGTCCATGTCAGCTGCGAAGACAACATGAAAGACAAGAAGAATCCACCACGCTTGCAGGTTTTGTCTATGCGGGACATTCGCAATATCTGGAAAATTAAGGGCAAACCGCGTGTGGTGCTCGGCAATGCGTCGAAGAAAAAGGGCGAGGTGCGAAAGTGGGTGCAGTTCATGGCGTTGGTTGTGAAGAAGACACCGTACACGCCTTTGTGGAACCTGTCAACGGAAGAAAAGAAAAGAAAGGAATGGGCTGAGAAACTTCGATATTACCTCCCGCTGGCCATGGCGGATGACTACGTCTTCGCTTTGGGAGAGAAGTTCTACGAGGAGTGGTCGAAAGGGAAACTCCTTGCTTCCGACGACCGGCGTTGGACTGAAAAGCCGGCCACCCATGAGGAGGTAGCCAAGCCAGGACTCTCCACTGTGACTGACAGCCAGGGGCTGAAGAAACACGTCTGGTACGTGAAGGTGGACGACCCATCGAAAAAGGGCAAGGGGAAGCCAAAGAAAGGCGCGGAGGAGAAAACTTTCTACGTCTAAGTTCCTGAGCCGGATGTCCACTGCTGGAAGGAATTGATGAACTTGACGGACCGCGAGAAGAAAAGGCTGTTGAACGGCGTCTTGAACCTTAACGTCGTGTGGGTTCAAACGAGTAGCAAGAAGTTGGCCGAGCAGGGGAAGTTCAGTGTCAAGGAGATGGTCAACATAATAAAAATGGACCGGATTATGCTGAGGCTGTGGCACTACGTAGAGTTCGAGTACGAGGAAATGGATAAGCGGGAGTGGAATGCCAACTCCACGTTCTTCAGGTCCAAGAGGCAACTGTTCGAAGAGTTCAAGGACAAAGGTCTCGACGACAAGCTTTGGAACGAGAGCAGAAAATTTTTCACGGACTCCACGTACGTTAACAAGTGCCCTCAGTTTCTCGGGTGTCAACACGACAACAACATCAAGAGAACGGCGACCCTCATCAACGACCAGCATTTCCCTGCGGAGTGGAAACGTGTCGTCCTTTCGGTGATCACGGGAGATCGCGCCAAAGGCAAAAAAAGCCCTCGAGGCGTAGATGAATGCATCAACATTATGTGGACGAGGACAAGCACCTTGACGACGATGGCCCACTTTAACGTTGACCCATAGAGTGCCATAGATCATAAGGAGGCGCTGGGAAAACTAGGGCATCAGCCACGCTCCCACACTTGCGTGCTCGACTTGTGCGGAACTGTGGACCGTGCGCAATGGGACTCTGGGGCATTCGCGTCTCTTAGTGAGTAGCTGGGCTTCGTTTGTCAGGACTACTGGACGTTGGTAGTATTCGTTCCCTGCCTGTGGAACCTCTCCTTCATGATATCTGTGTCTGCGCTTGGGGCTACCCGATGCTACACCGGGAAGTGGGTTCGAAGACGGCGGCGAAGAAGACGCATCAGTTCGGAAACAGCGTCTGGGAGGAGCCGGATGTGATGCACATCCTTTGCAAAGGCGAAGATCCTCGGCTACTGACTCACCCAGTGTACGAGGGAGCTGTTGCTGAAGACGATGCCGTCGCTTTCCATAGGAAACAGAAAGTGACACCCACGGATGTGGAGGAGAAGTCTTTGAAGTCCCTGACTTTCGCGGACATCGGAAACCTCACCCAGAGGGGGGTTCTGTACAAGGACGGCGAGCGGAATCCGAATCAGTTATGCAATTAGCTTCTTTTCTTCTGTGGTGTGGCGGATGCCGTGCTGTTTTTGGGCAAGCCGCACGCGCAGGTGGTGTGGAGTTTGCTTCAGCAGGGAAGGCACGTCTTGGTCGTGGATGGGGACACAACGCAGCTCGAATACACCGTGCAGTATGTCACCCATGAAGTATCATCCAAGGCTTACCCATGCGATTTCCACCACGTCGTGGTCAAGTCCGTTTATGACCCGAACAAGGACATGTTCTTCAAGTTGACTCCGAAGAAAAGGTGCCAGGTCTACTCCTTCCTTTACGACGAACAACCAAGGTTGAGATTTGACCCGCAGTACGTGGTGCGGAAGGAAGTCGCCATTGCGGTCCTCCAGGGCTACCACGGAGCGAGTCAAGCCGGCGAGGTGAGCTTCATTAAGAGGCTGGAATATGTGTTTTTTAACGAGAATGTCCTCAATCCGACCGATTTCACTTTGGATAACTACAAGCTGGCATTCGGTGAGGAGGACGACTTCAATATCGAGACTAAGCAGGAGGAGAGCGTTGAGGACGAACTCTTCGATTTGGACGGGCAATTGTCCATCTTCAACGCCCAAGTTTCTGAGTCGCCGTCAGTATGCAAACCGGGGACACCTCTCGCTACACCCACCTCGGGCAGCCCCACGCCAGTGTCCTCCTCATCGCCTGTCAAGAGGGGTGGGTTGTCCCGTCTGAGGAGTTCGCCGGGGGAGCCTATTCCTCTCACACGCAGCCCGAACGTCTTCGACCCGGCCATCCAGTTCCTCCGGACCATCCGCATCTCAAGGCTCCTGCGACTCCCTTCCACATGGGCGACAAACACACCTTCTCCAGAGCCGAAGATTGGGACCATGATATCGTGTGGCACCCAGACCATTTCCAGCCAGTCCTTCTCGACGGCGAATGGGCAGTGGCTGTGAGGGGCGTAAGTGGAGGGTGGATATATGACGATCGTTGGGACCTCGAGACATTCAAATCTCACGCCTACGATGCGGTTTTGGAGAGATTAAGTGAGGTCAATCGATGAAGTAAGGACGACCCTGCTCTGCGCGAATACAGGGACACGCTGTTCGATTTATTGCAGTCAAATAGATTGCTGGAAGTGTCCTCCGCGTTCTACGCCCTTCCGTCAAGCCCGTCAATTAAGCAAGTGAGTTGGGAGTTGCCTGCGGGTACCCCGCCGGCAGGAGTTGTGAAGCGCAAGTCTCGCGGAAAGGACGGCAAAGGGGATGGTCAAGGAGGCGGGCAACGAGGTACCGGAGGTGGAAGTGAACAACGTTCAACGAAACAGCGGTCTCCGGGGCACGCAGGCGGCGGAGAGGGGAAAAAGGGCAGCCGGGAGAAGAAAAAGCCTCGCAGCGGAGAGAAGACAAAGCATCATACAGGAGACGAGCAGGGGTCCGATGTCGACCGCGACGAGGACGGTGGGGTTCTGGCAGTGACAGGCAGCACCTCAATGGAGACGGGGAACGACTTCAGGCCTGGGTGGATTACACGGCCTGGCGAGCAGGACCTTGTGATTAGCTCCACCAGCGCAACACAATATACCGATGCTGTTGGCGGGGCAGTTGTAGCAAAAAATGGAACTTGCTTCGCTCAGCTCCAAAAACGGTTGGCGGATTGTCTCAGATCTATCCGAGCCTCGGAGACGACATCGTCGTCCGGAACTCAGTGCCTTCCGGGCAGCGAGACGACAACATATCACGGATCCGGCAGCGACAAGCTCCAACCATGTTCGGTTTCGCCTCAAAAGGAAGTTCGGATTAATCCGAACCCGGAAGCCAGTACCGTTGAGAGAGCACAGCGGTCTGCGGAACTCAAACGGGTGGTCCGGGTTTCCGAAAACCCTGGCGGCGAAATTCGGATTCATCCGAACCAGGAGGACGTGTCCGCCATGACAGACGACCGGTGTCAATACACCGTCATGTTGTGCATGGAAGTCCACAAGAAGCTGCAGGCAGACTGTCCGACTGAGGGTGAGTGAGCGACCAGTTTCAATGTCGAGCCCCGCACACTCGGAGCCGAATGCCTGGTGACGGTACGCGCTGAGTTAGCAGTCTTAAGCAACTCTCCGGTGAAAGCGGACACGTCGTTGCCGTTGGAAACTGCGGTGGCTCGGATGAATCCGAACCAGGGCCTTGTGAGCATGTCCCTCACTGGTGCAGCTTTGGAGACGACCGTAATTCGGATTCATCCGAGACACATGGACGAAGGACTTGACGGTTGTCGACTTCTGACGAATTTGGACAAGGACGACTCCGCCGACGACTGGATTGATCCGACACTCGGCGACGTCGGGATGGAGCAACCAGTTCAGCCAGTATACGACGACCCCTTGTACTCCGGCCTTGACGACGAGGCGATGGGAGAGGACGTTCTGAAGAAGTCCTCTGACGCTGTTGGAGATAGATTTCTCTACTTGAGTGACGACTTTAAAGACACAGCGCACGAGGACAACAAGTTAAGGGGGGGAGAGGTGTCGTTGGACATCAGGGACCTTGAGCACAACACAATGCGACACGGTGGCGACGGAGGAAACCCGACCTTTCGATCTTGTGGACGTCGACGCTCTTTGTCCGGAGACGGACAGACTAAAATTGCCCGTCGCGGACGTGGAGGATATCCGCCATCGGGATGGGGATGAATTCATGCCATCGCCGGTCATCGACACAGACATCTCGAACCTGTCAAGTTTCCCTGTGAGTTTGGAGCACGTTGTCGAACCAAATACCCTTACAAGGGTATTTGGCCATGCTCTTGCATTTGACACAATGACGACGTCAGCTACCCTGGCGGAGCCGGTGTGGAATGAAAAGGGTGTGCACGCTTTGGCGTGACACTTGAAACGATTTCCTCGGCCATTGAGGCCGGGGCGAATCGTTGAGAAAATTTCGAGCGTATGAGCGAGCGTTGTTATGACGCGCATTGTGATGATTATGACCAGTAGTAATACCCTCCGACCGAGAAGGACGAAGGGTTGATTAGATTAGTGTTGTGTCGAGTACAGCTACGACACGCACTGAGATTTGGGTTGGTACCTGTCCACCTACCGGTACTGGGCCTCTAAAAATGCTAAATTTTGTCTTCTTCTGCTCGGCCTCGAGTACCCTGCACATCTATCGCTGCGTGGTGTGGTACCGACCTACCCTCCACTTGAAAGTTTTCCCCGCCTCGATCTTAGATGTCGCGGCCATGGCTAAGTACCGGCCCTTCGGGCCTCTCAAGCAACCTA